TATAAATAGATAGATAGATGATAGATAAGTAGATAGATAGATAGATAGATAGATAGATAGATAGATAGATAGATAGATAGATAGATAGATAGATAGATAGATAGATTACTGGATTAACTAACAAAGGCATGGGATAATTAATTGATGTAAACATAAATAAGTAAATAACAAACAACCAGTGACAAAGAGTTGGGGTTTTGGGGGGATGATGATCAGTCTGGGTTGGGGGATGGTGGAGACATAACTGTCCTGGCTCTCCATGTGGTTGAGCTGTTTCCGGCCACACTGTGGAATGAAACTTTTTATTTTAATTCTGCATGTTAGAAGAGAATGGGCACAGTCCTTCCTCCTCCAGGTGCCTCTTCAGTGGCATGAACCCTCTGTCAGGCAGCCAGGGATGAACCATCAGACGCCTTGGAGAGCATGGAAAACAGAGTAGGCAGGCATCCCGCTCCTCTGGGGAGATGGACCGGGATCAGACGACAAGCCCAAGCTCCAGGGGCCACACTGACCTGGCATGAGCTACCTGAGCTCCGTGCCGAGCCTTGTGCCAAGCTCTGGGCACAGGCATGGCTGACACTCTCGGGACTTAACCCATAGTGGGGGAGACGAAATCTAGCAAGCCCAAGCAGCCTGCCATTTGAACAAAGGAGCAGAAGTGTGAAGGGTAACTATGGTGTAGCAGGCTACCCAGAGCCTAGCGGCACACCAGGGAGGCCTAGGAAGCCACCGACTGTCTCCGCCTGGCGCCTTCTAGTCTCTGGAAGCAAAGCCACTTCAGGGGAGGGAATGAAGTGTCACCTTTACGAATGGCTGTGTCAAGGAACATGGGGACTCGTTTGAAAAACACGGAATATCCAGAGGAGGAGACCAGGGTGGCATGAAAAGCAGCTGGTGCCCAGGTCTGCACAAAGGGTGGTCAGGAGGAGAGCCGGCAAGGACAGAGTCACAGGGTGGGGCTGTTGCAGGGACACAAGGTGTGAAGGGGTCCAGAGCCATCAGGAGTGGGTTTCAGGAGCCCACCAGAGGCCCGGGCGTGATCTTCCTGGCTGACTCCCACAGTCTGGTGTGGGTGGGCCTACTCACACCACCATTGGGGAAACGAGGCCACCGAGGCCCAGAGAGGTTGAAGAGACCCCCCACACACACACCTTCCCTGAACAGCTGGATTTCAGACCTGTACCCAAGGAAGGGAGCCCCACGGGCAGCAGTCCTGATGTCCTGAAGAGGGGATGTCATTGAATATACAGGGAGAGTGAGCCCGCGTGTGTCCCAAGAGAACGAGATAGGGAAAGACAGAGACTGAGACAGACAGGGAGGGGTGAGGGGGGACTGGAAAGGGGGACATAGCCCAAGGGTGCTGTGGTGATGACTGGCCCGAGGTGGAGAGAAAGGAGAAGC